GGAGCTTGCAGTGAGCCGAGATTGCACCACCGCACTCCAGCCTGGGTGACAAAGTGAGACTCCATCTCAAAAAGAAAGAATTAGTCAGGCATGGCGTGGGCACCTGTAATCCCAGCTACTTGGGAGGCTGAGGCAGGAGAATCGCTTGAATCTGGGAGGCAGAGGTTGCATTGAGCCGAGACTGCGCCTTTGCACTCCAGCCTGGGCAAGAAGGGCGAAATTCTGTCTCAAAAAAAAAAAAATAAGTAAAATAAAAAATAAAAAAACAAAACAGAGAGAGAGAGAGAGAGAAAGATGGTTATGGAACCCGAGTTATAATATCAAACATTTTTTTCTGGGTTAAATGGAAGAAAAAGGCTATCAAACCAAAAAAATACTATGGTTACAACTATAAAAATACCGAATAAGGGGAAAAATGAAATTTTCTGTTTTTGTGTTGTGGTATTGTATAGATTATCTGTAATATGGCCATGTTGTTTTTAATAATAAAAACAGACACAATGATCTAAAATACAAACAGTAGTAATCTATTTTAGCAGAAACTCCATTCCTTTATCCTTGAACATGTAACACTGAAGTCTACCAAAATCTCATGTAAGTTTTTTTTTTTTTTTTGAGATGGAGTCTCGCTCTGTCACCCAGGCTGGGGTGCAGTGGCGCAATCTCAGCTCACTGCAAGCTCCGCCTCCTGGGTTCATGCCATTCTCCTGCCTCAGGCTCCTGAGTAGCTGGGACTACAGGCGACCACCACCACACCTAGCTAATTTTTTGTATTTTTAGTAGAGATGGGGTTTCACCGTCTTAGCCAGGATGGTCTCGATTTCCTGACCTTGAGATCCGCCTGCCTCGGCGTCCCAAAGTGCTGGGATTACAGGCGTGAGCCACCGCGCCCAGCCCCCAATCTCATGTGTGATTTTATATTTCAAGCCAAAACCTGAGGAAAGCAACTTCTATCTTTATTTTTTTAATTTTAATTATTTATTTTTATATTTTTTTAGAGACAGGGAGACTCTGTCACTGAGGCTGTAGTGCACTGGCAGCATCATGGCTTACTCTAGTCTCTTAACACCTGGGCTAAAGCAATAATTCCACCGCAGTCTCCCCTGTAGCTAGGATTATAGGCAAGTGCCATCATGTCTGGCTAATTGTTCTTTTTCTTTAGTTTTTATAGAGACGAGTCTTTGCTATGCTGTCTAGGCTGGTCTCAAACAATCCTCCCACCTCAGCCTCTGAAAGCATGGGATTTTACAGATAAGCCACTGAGCTCAGTCTTGTAATTTTAAAATGAAAATCAATGGGTGAATTGGATTAGATATGACAAATTTAGACATAAATTTTTTTTTTTTTTTTTGAGACAGGGCCTCCCTCTGTAGCTCAGGTTGGAGTGCAGCAGCACCATTACAGCTCACTGGAGCCTTGACCTCCAGGCCTCATGCGATCCTCTTACCTCAGCCTCCTGAGGAGCTGCGACTACAGGCGTGCACCACAATGCTTGGGTAATTTTTGTAAAGACTGGGGTCCCACTATGTTGCCCGGGCTGGTCTTGAACTTCTGGACTTAAGCAATCCACTCACCTTGGTATCCCAAAGTTTCGGGATTACAGGTGTGAGCCACTGCACCCAGCCCTAAAGACTTTTTAAAGCAAAAATTATGTGAAGTGAGTCACATTTGTACTGATTACGCTGAGGTGAACACCCTCTTTTTCAAAGTAGTGGGGTCACAATTATCGGAGAAGCAGTTGACAGATTACATGTCAATCAAGTGAACATGGGAACACGGAAGAACAGTTTCTGGCTTAACAATGTTTGAGGACAAATACCCTGATGAGTAACTTAAAGGGTTGCTGGATCCCTTCATGACACTGACGTGGACTGAAAGTATTGGTCATTTGCACTAATCCCCACTTCTGCTCCTTTATACCCAGATGGTAGAAGACACACTCACCTGCTGTTGGGCTGGGAGGCGAGGGTGCCATTCTGTTCAGGTGGGGCCTCTGCTGGTTTGGATTTGAAGTAATTGACGAGCCCCCCAAACACGCTCTTAATGCTATTGATGTGTTTCTGGCTGATCTTCAAATCTTGGTCCATCTTGTCCACCATCTTCTCTGTGCGCTCCAGGACTCCTCGCTGACGGACGAGCTCCTGGGGAAACCAAGAGGCGGTGGTATTATAGCTTTCTGTGACTCTCCCCTAGGGCAATCAAGGACCACATGGAGCAGCCACTTCATAAACTCTCAGTGGGCACATCTGGAGACGGGTACTATCATCTGTGAGGGACACACTACCCTTTCCAACAACATGTTCCTTTGCCTCTCCCTCCCTGCCCTACCTCTGCTTGCTTTCCTCATTTGTTCATGAGACCCTTTTCCTGAGAGGCTGGTTCACGGCACCATGTTAAGATGGATAGCAGAGGCCTGGCGCAGTGGCTCACGCCCATAATCCCAGCACTTTGGGAGGCCGAGGTGGGCAGATCATGAGGTCAGGAGTTCAAGACCAGCCTGGCCAACATGGTGAAACCCCTGTCTACTAAAAATACAAAAAGTAGCCAGATGTGGTGGTGGGTGCCTGTAATCCCAGCCACTCGGGAGGCTGAGGCAGGAGAATCACTTCAACCTGGGAGGCGGAGGTTGCAGTGAGCTGAGATTGTGCCACGGCACTCCAGCCTGGGCAACAGAGCAAGACCCCATCTCGATGCTGGGGGGAGCGGGTAAGATGGATGGCAATGTGCCTGTGAGGTTCAGAGTCCAGGGCCTGAACTGGAAGCAGATTCTCTCTAGCCCACCAATTCTGGGAACCCTCACAGACTTGGGCCTGGCACTGCCCCCTGGACTTTGGTTCTTATATTCTTCCTTTATGAAGTTCCCACTTTAGGAGGTCCCAGTGGGCCACCTGAGCCTCCTGGCCATGGTCAAATCCTCGGATTCTATTTCAGGGACCAGTGTCCCTTCTGGTCCTATTAATGTCTGACTCTAGTTCATCCGCAATTCCAGCTTTAAAACCTGTTAACATGGGTGACCCTGTCCCAGGGCCTTTGCACACACCACTGTCGCTGCCTGTAATGTTTTCCCTCCGGATACTTATACGGCTCAGCCTCTCATCCCTCATCCAATTAGGGTCTCCTCTCAAAGGCCACTCTCTGAGAGAGGCCTTCCCAGACATCTTCCCTAAAGGAGAACTCCTTCCAACCACCAACCCTCTTCTCCACATCCTTTTCTGTTTTATTTTGAGATGGAGTCTCGCTCTGTCATCCAGGCTGGAGTGCAGTGGCATGATATTAGCTCACTGCAACCTCTGCCTCCTGTGTTCAGGCGATTCTCCTGCCTCAGTCTCCAGAGTAGCTGGGATTCCAGGCGCCTGCCACCACGCATAGCTAGTTTTTTGTATTTTTGGTAGAGACAGGGTTTTACCATGTTGGCCCGGTGGTCTCGAACTCCTGACATCAGGTGATTCACCTGCCTCGGCCTCCCAAAGTGCTGGGATTACAGGTATGAGCCACTGCACCCAGCCTCTCTTTTCTTCACAGCATATGAGCTCCAGGAGGCAGGGACTTGCTCTGTTCACAGATGAGTCTCTGCAAATCTGCCCAGTGGAGACGTGAGTGATGCTCTCTGGCCACAGTGGCAGCCTGATGGTCCCTCCAGAGCTGAAGGTTCTGGTTGTGGATATACATCCACCACAACAGCAACACTACCACTTTCCTTTATTTATGACAAACTTGCTTCAGTCCCTGCTTCAGAACTGATCTACAGCTGCGGCCCATCTGTTGAGCTGCCTTTCCAGCCAGAAGGCTCTCAAGCTTCTTTTTCCTGCTCTCAGGCAGCCTCTGCCCTCAGCTGCCTTCCTCTGAATCTGTTATCCACGCATCACCCTGTGGCTTAGCAATTACACTAACCATGCAAATACCTTTTTTTTTTTTTTTTTTTTTTGGAGACCGAGTGTCGCTCTGTCGCCTAGGTTGGAGTGCAGTGGCGCAACCTCGGCTCACTGAAAGCTCCGCCTCCTGGGTTCACACCATTCTCCTGCCTTAGTCTCTCGAATAGCTGGGACTACAGGCAGCCGCCAACACGCCCGGCTAATTTTTTGTATTTCTTTTTAGTAGACATGGGGTTTCACTGTGTTGGCTAGGATGGTCTCGATCTCCTGACCTTGTGATCTGCCCGCCTCGGCCTCCCAAAGTGCTGGGATTACAGGCGTGAGTCACCGCGCCCGGCCGCAAATGTTTTTTAGATATATTTTCTCTTGATGCCTAAAAACAAAGTTAAAAAAAAAAAAAAAAAAAGCTTTAATCGCTGAAGAGTAAAATGCAACTGTAATCAGAAGAGTAAAATGCAACTATAAATAAATAGTTGTGGCTTCCTTAAAGTCCTTAAGGAATCAATGTGTAATCTAAGTCCTTGTTTAATGGGTGAAATTTAAAAACATAATGTATACGCAAAAAGCTAAAACACTGGTTGAATTTACTATTAAACTTTGTTTAACTCTTGCTGGAAATAAACTTAGAACTGCTGAATTTTACAGCTTTCAACATTTACATTTTTCGACAGTTCACAAGACATGTCTGAAAAAACCATCAGCCTTTTTTAACTCAAAAGAAAAATGTTTTCTGGACTGTGTCACTCAGTATGTCAAGCAAATCTTGCAAGGGCTAGTTTTCAAAAGAAAAAAGAGCTGCTAACATATCTGGTGTTTCTGCTTCTTCCATTACCTCAAGTTTATCATCTTCATGTCCATACTATGGTCTTTTCTGGAATAAGGCAGAGCTACACATTAGGATTAAAGAGATTTTCTCCAGCATCTACACGTTTTTCTAACAGTCCAGTTCCAGCTAGCTTTGCAGGCTGCAGAAGACAGAATAATCTGTAGCTGAAAGACACTCACAGCAGCCAGGTTGGGGGCTGGGGAATGAAGGGGTGGCCAACACTCTGCTGTCACATTAGCAAGGGGGTCCTCAGTTTCCCTTATGGGGAGCTCCTCCCATCAGGGCCAACCCATGACCACTCACCCTCCCACCCTGGCTTCCTCATCTCAGTTTGGAGAGCTACCTTCCCCAGTATGGACTTATTTTCTCCTATTCACAAGCGACACATTCTCTCAAACTCCCAGAGTCTGTGCTACTGTTAAGGAAACCAGATGGCTGATTTAGATGTTTAGATGGAAGCACAGAGAAGTCTGTGAGGGTGGCGTGTCTTGCATGTGAGGCTGGAAGACCAGGCGAGTGAGTGCTGCTCTGGCTTCTGGAAGTTTCTGTTTGCTGGAAGCTAGCGTTCACTGGAGGTCACTAGGCCAGCAAGGGAGGAGGCATTTCTTCTGCCAAAATCCACCCCCAGAAGGCAGAGGAAATGACCAGACTTAATGTGCTTGTGACCTAGTTCCAACCAACGAGGAAGAAGGGTTTGGCAGAGCAAACACCAAAATACCAGGAAAGAGAACACTGACAGTCTGCAAGGACACGCCGGGCAGGCACCTGTGCCCCAGCCATCACCAAGACAGGCCTCAACCGCTCCGGGTCCTGAGGCATGTCCACACCCCCCTCCACAGAGCCACGGCACATCTTCTCCACCTTCCTCTGGGAGAATGAGGTCCCTGAAGGGACTTGAGTGGCTGCGAGGGAAGTGAACTCCACAGGTGCCCTCAGCGTAAAGGACGCACATGCAAAGCGCTTCCTTGTTTCAGTGACTACTAAGCATTACAGGTGATGCTCTTCTTACTCCCTTGAACCCCAACAAGAGTTCTCTCTTTGTCCACGAAGCAATCCCAAGCCTCTGTCCTGATAGTGTTTACAGTCTGACAGAGAGCAAGATGAGTGAGGTTCAATCTCAGTTTTTCATTTGTTGACAACATTGCAATGCTGGGAATCCAAGGCAGGCAGATGAGTCCTTGCTTCACTGAGCTTATAGTCTTGTAGGCAGAGAATAAAGCTATTGCACGCATGCACACAAACACATATACACACAGAGTCACCTCTCCCTGCAGACTCTTTGTCCAGCTTAAGGTGGGGGTCAGAGAGGCTCCCTGTTGAGGCTGGAGGAGAGACTGAGAAGTTAGGCAGTCAGAAAGTTGGGGGTCCTGTCCATTCGGACTTAGTTTTCTTAAAAACAAACCACAACAAGGCCAGGTGCGGTGGCTCAAGCCTGTAATCCCAGCACTTTGGGAGGCCGAGACAGGCAGATCACGAGGTCAAGAGATCGAGACCATCCTGGCTAACATGGTGAACCCCCGACTCTACTAAATAATACAAAAAACTAGCCGGGCGAGGTGGCAGGCACTTGTAATCCCCGCTACTCGGGAGGCTGAGGCAGGAGAACGGCGTAAACCCAGGAGGCGGAGGTTGCAGTGAGCTGAGATCCGGCCACTGCACTCCAGCCTGGGCGACAGAGCGAGACTCTGTCTCAAAAAAAAAAAAAAAAAAACACACACACACACAAACCACAACAAAGAGTTGGGGTGTGGCAAGGGCACCAGGCAGAGGGTACAGCTCGTGCAAGGGCGGAGGAACTGTGTGGGGAGTGAGCGGGGCTACCCAGAGGACTCGGCAGGAAACACCCACAGGATGTCGCTAAGGCCTTCAAAGGGCAGCAGTGACCACCAGATCCCAACTGCAATTCAAAGCCAACACATCTTATAACATCAGGTGGGCTTCCGTGACCGAGTCCTCCCCAGGTTCCTAAGGAAGGGCATCAACACTGTGTTTCTCACACTGAGCTCGGAAACTCAGGTTCTGATAAGTAAGGTTCATCCTAAGTAGATGGAGGCCAATCTGGAGTCAGCGAGCTGAATCTAGAAATCTGAAATTTATCTTTGTTCTGTCTCTTCTGTCCCAAGGGAGTGTGCACAGGCATAAGCCCTGGCAGGAATACGTAAGCACCCATGGCGCATGCTCAAACCTGGGGCTCTGACTGTGGCAGCCACAGTGTGGGGTGGATTCAGAGACAAATTGGGTCTTAGGGTGAGGAAAAACCACGAAGGGCAAAGGCGGTAGTGCTGGTGCCCCTCACCACCTGTGTGCAGGCTGACCTGGGGCTGAGTAAAAGGCTAGCTCAGCAGCTCTAGGTTGTCCATACGCTCCACATTCCAAAGAGAAGTCTGGCCCTAGCCTGGTTTCTTGTTTTTGGAATATCCTGCCTGATAAGAGTGTTTAAGTG